AAGATGGCTAGATAAATTAAATCTACTGATAAATTTCTTATCTCCATCAAATGTCTGTGTCCCCCACCTATATATCCACTAGTCGAATCGGATAGACTCCTTTCTTGTGCTAAAGTAGGTACATCTTTAGCTTGATGGATCTTAATATCCAAAGTATCCTAAAGGAAGTAGATGGCAAATATTGTTCATAGTTTAAACAAGAGAATCTTTATACAGCTGAACTTGGGTAGGTGAGACTTCTACTCTAACAGAATAGGGTCTCTAGCTTTTTCTTTCCCTACTCTATTTTGCAAAATTTCAAACCAATTAGTGGTTTGCCACTTTTGTTTTATAAATAGTATATGTATATTTTTTTTGGCTCAACCCTTTGAAAATAAGTTACAGACATGATACTTCACCCTTAAATAATTCAGCAGACATCTCCTGAGAATTAGGACTTTCTCCTTATATAACCACAAGAAGTTTGGCATAAAATATATAGTATGTATTCATATTTCCTCAATTAAATAGTGATGGCCTTTATATTTTTTATCCAGAATGTAACCTGGGATTAAATTCTGCATTTGGTTGTTATATCTCATCAGTGTCCTTTAATCTATAACAGTCCTGCTTCCATCTTTTGTCTCATGATACTGACATTTTTCAAGAGTCCACAACAGTTGTGTCGTTGGATGCCCTATTATCTAAATCTACTTAATTGTTTCCTCATTACTGTTGTTGTTAGCTGCCATCAAGTCTTCCTCATGTCTACCCCATGTACAGTGGAACAAAACTTTGCCTAGTCCTGCGCCATCCCCATGATCAGTTGGGGATTGTACCATCGTGATCGATAGAGGTTTTATTGTCTGATTTTTAGGAAGTAGATCACCAGGCCTTTCTTCCTAGTCCATCTTAGTCTGGAAGCTCCACTGACAGATGGGTGGTGGCTGAACATGAGGTGCTTGGTTGGGAACTGAACCCCGTTCTCCCGCATGGAAGGTGAGCTCTGCCAATGAACCACCAATGTCGTCTCATTATTAGAATCTGGTTAAACGCTTTGGCAAGAATACTACATAGATGATGTGAGCTTCCACTTATATCCCCTCAAGAGGCATATAAATGTCAGTACTAGCTTTTTTTTTATTACATCTACCACCAGCTGATGAAAGGCAGTGTAATGTAGGAAAAAGGTGGAAAAATAGGGTTTGGATTCAGACCTTTGTTCAAATCCCACCTAATAGTTGCAGCTGTGATCGTGGATAAGTTATCTATCCTTTCTGTGCTGCAGTTTTCTTATCTGAAAATGGAAGCTACCTTGCAGGGTTATAATGGGAATGAAAGATTGGTAAGATTGTGTCTTACATTTATATTTATGGTTGTGCTTAGGAAAATGGTTTGGGCCTGGCCATTCTCTCCTGAGCCTCGCTAGCTGCCACTGCAGTTTTTCTTCACTGTTTAACAGGGAAGCTTGTCCTTAACAGCACAAGGAGTCCATCTTCACAAGTTGCCCAGTTTTGTTTCATTTACCAACATTGGGGAAGTTCAGTTGAACACAAAGACAAGTGAGATGCTTCTGTGCAGGGCCTGGCTCTCCACAGGTGTGTCCATGCCTTTTCCTTTGACTGGCTTACTCCCCAGCATTTTGATTCTAGAATTACCTGTTAGAGCAAGTACTATGCTCTAAAATTAGATTCTGCACATTTCTCTGAAAACATGGAGAATGTCATTTAAGATACACACTTGACTGGTATAAACGAGGACAGGCTTTTAAGGCAGACATGGACTCAGTGGTATAACTTTGTGGCCTTCGGCAAGTCAGTTAATCCCTGTGAGCCTCAGTTTCCTCATGTGTGACGACTGGGAAATAGTCTCTTCCCTAGAGGGAGGTGACATGAATTAATATGGGGACAAAAGTGCGGCTGGTGACCTGGGAGACTAGGAGGACCTGCTGATTCATGGGCTCCATCTGTCAATTATCTGTGCTCTACTAATAATGGAAGAAATTGAAGGTTGCTTGTGCAGGAATCTGAAACCTGGTGAGACAAGGACTTGTGAGGTAGGAAGAAAGCCTCTGAGGGAAGTGGCAGGAGACCAAAGTCATTATTGCCCCTCCCCATCCCTTTCCATGTCTAACCCCAGATACTTCCTGATGAAAGAATTTGGCTCCAGTGGACAGGAAAACCAGAATTCTCAACTGATGATGGACCAAGAACAGGTAGGGAATTGGGATTCCCAAGAGCTGGAGCCAAGAAAGGTAAAGGATGTGACTACCCAATGGGACAGGAGGGCTCAAAAGCTAGCGTGGGAGTCTTTGCTCCTAACAACCATTAGTCCCCACCACCACCAAGAACGTACCACCCCCACTTAAGAAACAAGACTGGGAATCGGGCTGGGAGGTACTTTGCTAGGGACAGATAACCTAATAAGCAAGGTGTATGCATGGGCTTAACTTGTGTCGCTTACAATCTGTAGTGCACAATTTCACCTGTTTTTTGCCACGTCAGAGAGTAGTACATAGACACAAGTCGTGTGTATCTTGCTTACTGGTTGATCTGCCCCTGTAATTGTCCTATTCATCATTAGGTCCACAGGGCTTAGTACAGGACCTGCCACACAACTGAAGTTGAATAAAGCTTTTAAAATGGAGGAGCTGAGGATCCCCAGACCCAGCAAGGGAACCAGCACAGTCACCCTGGGTTAAGGTCTGAGTAGCAGGAGTGAGGAAGAGGGGGTTTGTGCCCTGTGTGCTGTGGCAGTTCTTGCCCTAGGGCTTCATCCCCTTACAACCTATGTCTTGTTGTTTGGGGCCATGGGTGTAATTTATTTTTCATAGGTTCCTAGTGAACATAATAAGTGGAAAAGGGAACTATCCTACAGGATAGTTGAGTGATCACAATTTCCTCATTAATATAAAGTTTGGACTATATAGGTAATTTGAGATCACTTCCAGCCCCAAAGCTTTGTGATTTTAGTTTAAAAGTTAAAGGGGGATAGGGCATTCATTCAATAAATATTACTGTGACCTTGTGCTAGAAAGAAGGGATACAAAATGAATAGGTTAGGCTGCCCTTGGGTAGTGCAAGTCAAGTGAAGAGAATTTAGTGACATTAAATTCTTAGAATGCTGCGTAAGGTTTGTAATAATAGGGTACATTTCTTCAGCACATACTGTATGCCAGGCACCATTCTAAGCACTTTACAATTTAACCTCACAATAATTCCATTAAAAACCAGATGCTATCGAGTAGACTCCAACTCATGGTGACCGCATGTGTGTCAGAGTAGAGCTGTGCTGATTATCAGCCATTAGAGTATTCAGAAGTAGATCACCAGGACTTTCTTCTGAGGTACCCCTGGGTGGACTCAAACCTCCAAACTTTGAGTTAGCAGTGGAGCACATTAACTGGTCGCACCACCCAGGGACTCCCCATTTCTTAGCTAAGGAAACTGAGACAGAGAGAGGTTAACAAACTTGCCAGTAAGTAGCAGAGCAAAGATTTAAACCTAGACAATCTGGCTTTAATGTCCATGTTCTGTCACAGAATTGACAAAGTATTATTGATGAGACACCTGGGAGGGACATGTATGAAAGTGCTCAGACTCTATTGCTACAAGTTCCTGGCGATTTTGTGACATCAAGTGGGTTTTGATCACATTTTCTTTGGTCTTTGGTGAGGTCTCCATCAGTTTAACAGGTAGCATGGGCAGGTGGGGCTCTTTTAGAGTCCACTGGGACCTAGGTTCAAATTCTAGATTTACCATTTGACTGGTGAACATAACCAAGCCTGAACCTCATTTGTGTTAACAGGAACAACCATCTTCTTTATTGGGAGGTTATGAGGATTAAATATTAAGTTGAGCTACTTGAAACGGCTTGTTTCTGTAGGTCAAAAACGGTCTAATATTATGCACTGGCGGAATCTACCAAAATAGTAATGATTCCTTTCTTTGTGCTCCTGATTTTTCCAAAATTCCAACCATAAATTCTTTATCTTGCCTAAGACATAGTTCCATCCAAGGGTTTAGGTGGCTCTGGGAGCCCGGAAGTCCAAAAACTCAAGCCCTAAATTCTCCTGCCAAAGGCATATTTCCTCCCAACACTTTGTGTGGCCCTGAGGGCTCTGAGGTTGCACGCTGTTGACCTACCCTGTGGAGGCCAGTAAATGGGCCATGAGATTTGGCAGTTCCTACAAGAATCCAGGGATTTCCAGCTAGCCACTAGCACATCCCTTGGGGGCCAAAGAAGTCAAGTGTCTTGACACCGGCTCCGTGGCCTGCCGTACACAGACTCAGCGTCATTTCACCCACGGCCTATTTTGTCCTTGTTTGTCACTGTAGGGTAGTGGCATTAATTCCATTTTAAAATGTGAAAACTACGCTTAGGGAAGGTCAGGCCTCACACAAGGTCTCAAGCACCGTGTACTGTTGGAAAGAACGCGGGCTTTGGCGTTAGATTGGTCGACGCAGGCACTGCTTGTAGGTCTTTGAACCTCTAAGGCCTCTTTCCTTTTGCGAAGGGCGCTAACATCTCCCCTCTTTGTACGGCTGTTTTCAGTTCAACCCAGGTTCTCCCGGGTCTGGCCTAGGAGAGCTCCAGCTGTGGCGAGTGGACCCCGGCGGGACACTGCGAGGTGCGCGGGGGGTGAACGCGCACCAAGGCATTGAGTTCGCGACCAGACAGCTCACACCCCTGGCCCTGCATAAATATCAATATTTAATTTCGACTGTAGACAGAACTAGACTTCGACATCCCCAAGCTTAGACCAACTCAGACTCAGACCGTACTGTTCCCAAAAGGAGGACCGAAACTACGCAGCTCCGCAGAACAATTGGGACAACCCCACGGCACGGAGGGCCGAGAAGGACTAGGCGTAGACGGCCCGCGCCTGCGCGCCGCCATCTTGCTAAAGGAGAGTCCGCTTCTCGCCCGGGCAACGGCTCGTTAGCTCCGTGGCGGGGCTGCGCTATCCGGCGGGGCTGCGCTATCCGGCGGGGCGGGGCGGGGCGGGGCGGGGCCGGGCCATGGCGACTGTGGAGCCAACAGCGCGCGCGGTGCGGGCTTCTACCCAGACATCCCAGCCCGGTGGGGCCCCGGACCGCACAGCCGGGGATGCAGGGCCGCCTTTCGGGAGAAGCGGTGGCGAAGTACCGCGGCAGGGGGAGCGGACCTCAGCGGCTGTAGAGAAACGGGGGCCGTACGTGGTGACGCGTGCGCCCTCCATTCAGGCCAAGCTGCGTGAGTGCGGCTAGATGGGGAGCCTGGGCGGGCTGCTGCGTCCCAGGGGCGGGCTCTAGGAGCCCTGCTGGCTCTCGGCGCCGGAGGGAAGGGGTTAGGTGCAGCCCACTGCCGCCGCCGAAATCCTGTTTGGAGAGGGCAGCTTCCCGGCGCTCGGGAGACACAGCGGAGTGGGAAAACCCCTCTGACCGGGGCCCTTTGACTTCCAGAGAAGCACCGGGACCTGGCCAAGGCCGTTCTGCGGAGAAAAGGCATGCTGGGGGCCTCGCCGAGCCGCCCCGCCTCTTCAGGGAAAAGGTCTCAACAGGCGTCACCTCCTTTATGCCTGGCAGCTTTTACAGAAGGCCTTGACTAAGAGTGGGAGACAAAGTGTTTACGTTTAAGGCTGAGCTAGTGTTCCCCTGACGGCGGCCTGTCAGATTCACTGCCTTTAAAACGGGGAGAGGAACAAGCATCTTTTTTTTTTTTTTTAAGGATGTGGTATTAGGAAAGGGCTTTGGAATAAGGGGGTTCTGTCAGTGCATATAGAATCGTTCATGTGTCTGAGTTAGGGAGGAGCAATGCGGCCGAGGTCCCCGAGAGTGAGGATGGAGAGCCGGGTGGGAAGAGCCAGTGCTGTTTTTTTAACTCTTAAAACCCTGAGAGCTGGACAGGACCCTATCCAGTGCCTCCTGTAACAGGTAAGAGCTGAAACTCAGAGAGGTGAAGGGATTTGCCCAAGGACGTGCTGTTTTTCTGTCTTCTAGTTAAACAGAGGGCTTAGGGTTCCTGTGGGGGACTCCTCCCTGACTCCCGCAAAGGGAGGTGTGCTTTTCCCCAGGAGGTGGGGGGAGTGGCGTGAGTGCATATTCAGAGAAGCAGTAGCCAGATACAGGGAGCTGCAGGCAGTGGGGGCTGTGTGATGGGTAGAAGGCAAGTCAGGAGTAGTGCGGTCAGTTCTTTCCATAAGGAAGTCTGTTTAAGGCTGTCCCTGTGAAATGCTAGTGATTCCTGTTCTATGCTTGGTCCCTCCTTTTGTACCTCCCCTCAGGTCAGTGAAGTTTAACAAGGGCTATACCGCTCTTAGCCAGAGTCCAGATGAAAACCTGGTGTCCCTCGACTCTGAAAGGTGAGTGCTTCCTTGGAAATGCCCCTTGAGGAGTGACTTGGATGGAACTGCAGATCGCTTGGTGCCTTCTCTTGTTCACTGTCTCCTCGATGGCCCTTCATGCATGTCCCAGGCCTGTCGTCTTCTGACCACTTGCCCTTCCTAGGGTGGCTTGGTTAGAGAACTCGTGGGTGATGCTGCTGCTCTTGGATTTGGAGTGCCAGCATTGCCTGGGGAAGTCATCCTGCCCTGTTATGTGTGCAATGTCAGTGAGAGTGACCCTGCCCCTGCCAGAGCCAAATGAGGGAGCTCTTAGTACTCATTCAGATCTGGGCTTGAGTTCTGTGGTGTGTGGTCTTTGCTCCACAAATCTTCCAGACCCCCTTGCATGCTCTCCACCTTGCCTTTTGTAGCTGTTCTCCACCATCACCCCCCTGAACTGACTGTCTTCCTCTTCTCCTAGTGATGGGGAGCTGGAATCCAGATACTCCTCCGGGTATTCCTCTGCAGAGGCAAGTCCAAAGCACCTTTCTGTGTGGGGCCAGGCTGCAGACAGCGTCACCGCTACTGCCAAATGCTTGTCTGGTGCCTGCCATATGCACAGCAGTGTACTAGACTTCCAGTTTGTTCTCTGATCTTCCATTCTGCCCTCTTCCCCCAGCAGAAGTGTTGTGTCTGAGAAGGGCTGTTCAAAGTCCAGGAGACCATAGACCCCAGAGCTGGAAATGACCTCAAAAGTTTTCTAGTCCAGGCCACCACTTAGAAAAGGAATCCTCTTGATAAATCCCAGCTAAGTGTTTACTAGTCTCTGCTTGCTTGGATGCTGCTTATAATTGGGTACTCACTACTTCCAGGCAGCCTCCTGCCCACCCCTCAACATACACACATAGTTCCTTTGGATACCTCTTAGAAAAGTCTCTCTTACTGATTTGAAATATCTCTTTGGCCTGGTCCCATTGGTCCTAGGCCTGTTCTCCAGTGTAACACAGTAATTCTAGTCTCCCTTCTTTTGACTGTCTTTTTTCTAAGATCAGTATTCCTGTCCCTTCCCCACCTACCTTCCACCAAGCTTACATTCTTACAGGCCAAACAACTTGTTCTTCAGTTGTTCCATCTATGGGACTCAGACTGAAATACTTCTGGGCTGGCCTTGTGGACATGTGTCCAGAGTGACTATTCTGATTGTCCTAGACAGGAACACAGGGATATAAAGTTCTGGCATGTGCAGCTTACTGCCTCTGACAGAGGTGAAGTGCTGAGGACGTGACTGTACACTACTGGTATTTCTTCTTTACTCTCCTGAAAACCCTTGGCTACCTTCTAAGCTTCTGCCAAAGAGAATAGGGGCAGTTTGTAAATTGTGTCCTCCTTGAATGTCGAAGTGTCTAAGATTGTTAAAACTAAAGAAAGAAAATTAGCTGAGAAGCAGAGGAAGTCCTACACTGTTTCCAGCCTTATTTTCGATCTACTCAGTGGAACTGGTGAAGCCAGGCCGACAGGTTCCACTTTGCAGGGACCCAGCCCTGCTGACATCAAAGGATAATATGTCTAACCGGCAGTGCAAAGCTCCTCCCCGCAGTGCTCCACTGTAACCCATATTCCTCTACTACTCTAGCCTATTGTTCTGGTGCCATTGTCCCCATAGTCTACAGCCTTTATCAGGATCAGTCTGGGTTACCAGTGGGCATTGAGTTTCAAACATAATCTGGAATCTGATCTTTACGTCAGATGTCTCAGGGTTCTTTAGTGAGAGCAGCTCCCCTTGGGGTCAGTAATAATGCAGGCCGGACAGTACTGGCTGAGGCTCCTGGGTGCCCCTTACTGCTGGGTGAGGCACAGCTAGGGAAGTGGCACTTCCTCCTGTAGTCCAGGGATGTCTGGGGTTGGCCTGGGGCGGGGTGGGAGCATAGACAGGAAGCCCTGGTATGGGAATATAGGCCTGCCTTTTGGGCAGCAGTTATTTCTGCTTTGCAGCCTTACAGTTCCCTCCCCTCCTTCTGCCTTTAGCAGGTGAACCAGGAGGTGAGCCGGCAGCTGCTCCAGGACGGGTATCACCTGGATGAGATTCCAGATGATGAGGACTTGGACCTTATTCCCCCCAAGCCTATGGCCTCCTCAGCTTGCTCCTGCTGCTGGTCCTGTCTTGGGGGCTCTTTCTCCTGCACCCTCCAGTAGACAACCTCAGGCAGATGCCAAAGATGGGCTGTAAGGCCTGCAGACCCCTGGTGACCCTTCATAACTCAGACTACAGTGGGAACTGCTGTCAGCCCCACACTCACTGGGGGCACTGAGACCCCTGGGAAGGTCAGTGACCGGCAGGTGGGCCTTACTCGGTGCTTCTTGGGCCAGAAGCCCCTATCTGGGCCATGCAGTCATAGGTGGAATTCTGTAGTTTTCACTCTGCTGTTGGAGCAGTTTGGAGAAACCACTTTAATAAGAGCAAAAAATAGAGGAATTTTGGTTCTTACGGTGGGTGACAAAGTGTCTAAGAAAAACACTTGCAGACATCTTGACTGGCATTTGTCACCGTACTCTAAACCAAAAACACCAAACCTGTTGCCATCGAGTCAATTCTGACTCATAGCAACCGACAGGGCGGAGTAGAGCTGCCCCATAGGGTTTCCAAGGAGCAGCTGGTGGGTTCGAACTGCTGACCTTCCAGTTCACAGCCGAGCATTTTAACCACCGCGCCACCAGAGCTCCTGCAGGGAGTATAGCAGGATCATGGCTTCCAGAATGCCTGGACCTGGTGCCTCCCCTAAGTGGTCTGTCTGGGTAGGTTTAGTTAGTGGTCAGCCCTTCCTTAAAAACGGCTCTACCACATACATATTTAACTGTACTCCTTGGTTGCCATTCTTCACCTTGGTCTTGGCTAGTTTCTCCACCATCTTTGAACTAAGGGTTGGGTGAGGAAACTAGGGCTGGCCCCAGAAGCTTGAAATTTTTGTGGTTACCAGCAGACGGAGCAGTTCTGGTGCCTTGTTTATATAGCTTTTTAAACTGAGAAATAGCAATGGGTATAAGAGGTACACTGGTACAGCTGTGTGGGCTTTCGCCTAGACTGAGGCTCACAGATGGGATGAGGAGGGAACTAAGCCAGCTCACAAGGCCAGTGCAGAGCGCCTCCCCTCACCCCAGCATGGCCCACCCCTATTGTCGTCAGCTGTGCAGATTCCTCAGACCACAGCATGGGTCTAGCTCAGGACTGGGTTCACAACAAACCTCCAGGTGCAGCAGAACCTTTCAGCCCCCAGCCTGCACACAGCAGAGACAAGCATAGTTGGCCCCTGGTCCCCACTAGACAGCATCCCTTGCTGTACTGGGCCTCTAGAATTTTTCAGTGGTTCCTTTTTTGCCTCACCCAGGACTGTGGTTTGAACGGGAAGGACAGGGTCCCCACACCAAGAGGTATGACAATCAGGATTGGGCCCCACCTGGGAATGTGTGGCTTCATTCATGTTCTGTGACTCCTTAGAGGCAAGAGGGATGGCACTGACTTTCCTTACTCCATCAGGAGGTGAGTGGAAGACTGAGAAAGTCAAATAAAAAGATGAGGCCTTGTCATTGCTGGACCACTATCCCCATGAGACTAATCCCATCAGTGCTTGACTGGCATCTATCTCTGTACTTTTCTCATATTGTGAAAGGTGGAAGGGGATACATGGTATCCAAGGGGCTACAGCTGACCTTTATGCTACCAGCTAGCAGCTCCACAGCAGTAGAGAGAGAGAACAGAGACAGGTCAGGTTGAGGTCTGGGAACAGGGAAGGCAGCTAGATGGTTATTCTGTTCTGAAATGGGACTCTGCCTAGGTACCCAACCTTCTAAGCACTTTGTGCAAATGCCTGCAGGGAGGGAGAACATTCCATTCTGACCCCTTTGCCCATCCACAGAGACTGTGTCCAGGCCGTTCTGGCTTCTGCAGAGGTGGAGAAGTGCACATGAGGATAGGGCTCAGGTACAGGACAGTGTGCTGGGGGGAAGGGGAACCCAGTGGGGGCCAGAAGGTGATTGTGCAAGCCAGGTGGGAGCCACGTTTCTGTGGGGGAGCTGGCTAGGACTCAGTAGCCTGGGCATTTGGCAGCTGCTGGGGGTAAGGGTGACAGCAGGACCCAAAGACCAAGGCCCTCTGGGCACTGTTGTAATCAACACTGATGTTTGGCTGCAGCTGTCCCTGGTGATGATGTCCCAGAGCTGGTTGACCCTATGTGGGAGGCATTTCCTGTGTGGAAAAAGCTGCAGGGGCCTGAAGCAGAAGACAGTGTACAGTAAGGCAAGGTGAAATGGTTAGCTCTTTGGGGCCCTATTGCCACAGGTCAGAGTACCAACAAAGGCACTAAGGTGCCCAGAGCCAAACTGCCTTAATTCAGGGTCCTGGGTATTCTGGAGATGACAGTCCCCTGGGGGGAGAGGGGTGTATCTGGGCTTCACAGATGGGAGTGGCACTGTTAAAGCCTTTACACAGTACTCTACAGAACTCTATGGCTTACCCTTCTACAGCTCTGTAAGTTTATAAGAATAAATGCCACCATGCTGGATAAGCTGTGTGTATCTGTGCTGCAATATAATTTTTAAGAAAGGCCTGCACCCTAGTCATTGTTTCTGAATCCTGAGGTGAATACAGCCCCCGCTGTGATCATTCCTCCTGGAGACCACCACACCCACGCTTTCTGCTGCCGTTCTCCACGGACATCTGTTTAGGCCTGCTTCACGGGAGACCGTGGGCAGAATAGGCCCTTGCAGATCGCGTTTCTCCTTAGCATGTGCTCCTTCTAGCAGACCCTTTCTTTCCAGATCTCCACCTTTTTTTTTTAGCTGAAGAAAGTTTGGAGGCCAAACAAACAAGAACAGATTGGCCAGAACTTTTTGAAGGTGGTTTCCTGGTACTTCACTGAAGGAGGGCCCAGAAAGATTCTTTTGTTCAAGTCAAACCCCTCACTCCACAGGAAGGAGCCAATGGCCTTGTCTCTTTCTAGTCTGGAAAGACAAGATTACAGGTCAGAAACCTCAGCAACACAGCTGTGCAGCCTCTTGGCAGAGGTGCGTCCAATTCCTAAAAAGTGGGTACAGAGATTAGACCCCTTCTAGGCACCTCTTGCCAGCTCAGAAAAGATTGGGTTGCCCTCATGATGCAAACTGATCATCCTGTCCCCAAATCCCTGTAATCTACAATGATCGAATGTGTTCTAGAGAAAGAGTTGACAAACTTTTTTTTAGTAAAGGGCCAGATAGTCAAGTTTCAGCTTTACAAGCCATTCCGTCTCTGGCACAACTATTCAACTTTGCCTTTGTTGCTGGAAAGGAGCCAGGCAGTATGTAAATCAGTGGGTGAGGCCAAGTTTGGTCAGCTGGCCTCAGTATGCAGACCCTGCTCTAGGACCAACTGAAACACAGGAGAATCATCCACTGATGGCTACTGTCTTGTTTGCAGACCTGGAAGGCCCAAGGCCTGCCTGCAAGCTCTCCATCTGAGACTGAAGCTGGCCTCCTCCCCTCCCACTCCTTCCTAATAAAAGGACTCCAGAGTCTAACTTGTCCACCCTCTGGGAACTTTCTGAAACAGGAAGAAAGCAAAAATGAAACATGCAGGGAGGGCTTTCAGCTCACTTCAGGGACAGGAACATCCGAGGCCAAGTACTCTTCACCCCACAGCCTCAACACAAGAGATCTTTAATTGCTTTGACACTGTAAGAGGGTGAGGATGAGCAACATTAGTACACAGGCCTGCCTGCCTTCTCTGCAGCTGAGGAAGTGGCAGTGCCACAGCCAGAACCCTGCTTGCAAATAGTAATGAGCTAGCCTCTTGCTCCGGGTGATGCTAACATTGGTCATAGATTTCACGAAGTAGCCTAATGCTGTAGGCTGGAGCAGAGCTGCTGCCTCCTGAGCTGAGGCAAGCCTGGCTCTGGTGTGAGGAGTGGTGAGAATACAAGGGGGAGTGCTGGTCCTTAGTCTTCCTCCCAAAGGATGGTCTCGCCTGGGGGTGCTCAGAGTCACTACCTTCTAGCTTATTCCTCTGTGTGACTGTTCTCTTCCCCAGACCTTCCAGGGTATACCTGAAGAGTCCACAGCAGGGAAGGGGGTTTAGGCTGGGCCTGAGGAGGTGAGGCTGGCCTGCATTTAGGGCAACTGCAGAGGCTATGGCCTCTACAGCAGACAGCAGGCTCGGAATAGCAGCAGGTCATTAGGCACAGTGAGCTTCAGCGAGACACTCTCGTTGGCCCCAATGAAGAGCACCCCACCACGCTGCAGGGGGATGGGTGCCTGGGCTGTGGTCGTGCTGGCTGTGACTGTCCCCTGCACCATCAGGAGGATGCTGGCAGAGTCCAATGACAAGACCTTGTATTCAGTGACAGAGCCAGGGACCTGGGCAGGAAGAAACAACAGGATGGTGCAGCACAGACTGCTCCCATGAGCTCACAGGGGCCCAGGTCAACCCAAGGACACTGAGCAGGAGAGCTCTGCCACCTTCTCCCCACTGCTCAGGCTCTTGTCAGCATGGAGGCCTGTGCCTGTTCTCTGATACAGAAGAGTGGGCAGGCCCTGGGGCCACCTCCTAGAACTAGAACTTGACAAAAAGGAAACCTAGCCCCAGGCTGCTGCCAGCCCAGATACACTCCACATTGTGACCCTCTGCAGGGTTCTTTGGTTCACACAAAGGCCACGTACCGTGCTACCCACTCACCTCAATCTTCATAACAGTGAAGTCCGGCACAGGGGGATCATAGATGGAGAGGTAAGGGTCTTCCTGACTCTGTTTTGGGGGAAAGAGCCGGTCCTTGCTGGGACTGGGGGTGTAGTTGAGCATATCACACAGAGTTGGCACGTCGATGAACTTGGGTGTCAGGCCAGCACGCACCGTGTTGTCTGAGCATGCCATGCACTCCACACAGTCTGGGGACAAACAGTTGGCATGGGCTAAGCTGATGAAGTATGCCTTAGAGCTTGGCTCTCAGGGGCTGGGACTTTTAACCTGGACTCCATGAAGCCCCAAAGAGTTAGGTAAAAATGCTATGTGAATTTGCATCCTTTCTGGGAAAAGAGGCCAAGAAAGATATCAGATACCAAAAATAGGTAACAGGTTACCCACTAGTCAGGGGGGTCATGTTAGCCGTTGGAGCAGCCTCAACCTTCCTGACTCTTTCATTCTCCCACTTCTACCACAGAATCCTGTGCATGAGTACATAAGTAGCCAAGTGTCAAAATGTGACACTCTTCTATGGCAACATGCATATTGTAATACAAAAATCTCTGGGTAGATGAGAGACATGCAAAGGCAATGTGATGCCAGGAAAGATCACCAGCCTTCAATCCAGTACAGCCTGGATTCAAATTGTGGTTCCTACACTTATTAGGAGCCTTGGTGGCGCAGCGGTTAAAGCACTCTGCTGCTAACCGAAAGGTCAGTGGTTCAAACCCACCAGCTACTCTGCAGGAGGAAGATGTGGCAGTCTGCTTCCGTAAAGATTATAGCCTTGGAAACCCTGTGGGGCAGTTCTGCTCTGTCCTGTAGCGTCTCTATGAGTTGGAATTGACTCGATGGTAATGGGTATGTACCTTTATTAGAGGGCTTAACATCAAAGTTATCATGACCTCACCGGGTTGGTGGAGGATTCAAGCAGTGTCCAACACCAGGCTGGCATTCAGTAGCATCCTGCTGGCCACTTCCCTGCTGACCCCAAGAACCCTAGGAAGTCAGAGCTGGCCAGGCCCTTAGAAAATGTCTCCTCAACCACCCTTTTGTACACATGGGGAGACAAAGACTGAAGGGGATATAGTGGGGCTCAGTGCTGAAATGTGGCTCACCTCCTTTCAGGTAGGCATGGGGCATGTTGGCCTCCAGAAACATGGCCTCCCCTGGCTTCAGGATAAGCAGGTTCAGGAAGTAGATGGCAAAGCAACCAATATCCCCTGGGTACTGCTGGTGCAGCTCCATCAGGAGCTCTCCACAGATGTCCTCCATGTTGTTTCCAGCAGCCACTAAGGTCACAACAAAGCACCCACAGGCCACTCAGGAACAGTCAGTGGTATTCACAGTCCTGCCTTGCCTGGGAGCCCTGAGGAAGAGTCCCCGCCTGCACAGATCCAGAGGCTATGGTGGGCCTGTCCTAGCCACACCCCCAGCCCTATGAGGTCTAGCTTTCCTTGATATTCCAGCCCACAGAGATGCCATTCTCCACCCCCCCACATCTTGACTGTTTATGTGCCAAGACTATACTAAGCACCAAGAGGGCCAGAGTGTGGTTCTTTGAGGACAGGGTTTCTCAACCTTGACACTACTGACATTTTGGTCTGGATAATTCTTTATTGTTGGGGGCTGTCCTCGACATTGAAGGATGTTTAACAGCATCCCTGGCCTCTACTCACAAAATACCAGTAGCAGTTGTGACAACCAAAAATGTCTCCAGACAATTGCTAAATGTTCCCTGGGGCCAAACTCACCCCTCTGGTTGAGAACCACTGCCCTAGGAACTTAAAATCTAGTTAGAGAGAGAACTGTCCCGGTTAGCCCAAGACTTCCCTGGTTTTACGACTAAAAGTCCCATGTCTTAGGAAATCCCTCGGTCCCAGCAAACTGGAATGTTTGACCACCCTCGGTAGCACGAAGCAGAACGTGCCAAGGGCCAAAATGTGTCCTGGAGACTGACCAGGGGAGGATGGGCTCTGCCTGGACTAGAGTAGAGAGGAGAGACTTCTTGGAGGGGGTAGGAGTGAGCTGGGTCTTCTTGAATATACAGAGAAGCGGGGAGGGTATTTGTAAGTAAAAGCAGTATGTAAGGGGTGCACTGAAGAAACCAGCTGATCTGGGCTGGAGGGTTGGTCTGAGTCTTTATACAGAGACTTACTGAATGCCACTCTGCTAAGCACTGGAGACACATAAAGACTGAGGACACAGGTCACTGGCGTGGAGAAAACCCCAGCTTAACAAGTGTACACATGGTGACACAGACTCATAGGTACTAAGAGCTATACCTGACATATGAACAGGGGGTTACAGGAGCTCGGGGCAGGAATAACAGTTCTGCCGTGAGTACAATAAGCCCTAAGGGAGAGGCATGCAAGCAGAGAAAACTCGAAAATAAACATATAGGGCAAGTTTGGATAAAATAAACAGTTCCTTGTGACTCAGAGGTAGTGGGGGAAACATGCAGAGACAGAATCAGAAAAGACCTCTGGGGCCATCTGGAGAAGGGGCAGGGGCTGCCAGGCTAAGGAGCTGAGACCCATCATCTGGGCCACATCATCTCAAAGCTGAGAGTTCTGCCTTATGTTTCTTACTGCCTGTGTTGACTCCCCAACCCAAAGGTGACATGACCACACCCATCATAGTCATTTGTTAAACTCTCCTTAGTTAGCACAAGGCTGGGCACATGTAGGTATTCAAGGAAAGATCTAATAATGGAGAACTCTGGGCATCAGGCCTTTGGAGGAGGAGGGATCTCCCTTGTTCTCTTCGTGCTTTATAGCCCCAAAACACAAGTCTATCTATGTGGTATAGCCACAGGGCTGAGGAAAATCTCAGAATCCCTGAGTAGAAGCATCCTAAGAGTCTTCTAGGCCAGTCTGCCTCCAGCCATCTAGAGAAGATGACCAGTTAGGAGATGGCATTCAACCTAGTGCCCTGCTCCACAAAGATTGGGAAAGAAATGCTAAGTCGTCAACAGGCCATCTACACTGGGCCCAATTTAATGTTCCACATGGACAAAGGGGTTGAGAACACTGTCCCCACAGCTTAGTGTCTATGCCAGGGAGCCCAGGATGGGGTTTTTACACCCCTCTTCCCCAGGCCTACAACCATGCCCACCTTGCTGGGAGATCCGCTTCACCAACAAGTTGAGCTGCTCCGCTACCACCTTCTTCTCGCTCTTCATCAGGTGGGAGAAACAGTTCCGCAGAGCAGAGGCCACAGCCCGGGAGTTGTGGCTCATGCTCTGCTTTAGCTGTGTCGCTGCATTATCTCCAATCAGAAACTGGAACTCGGGCACCTCTGTAAGAAGGCCAGGCCCAAGGTCATACCAGGAATGGCAAGATGGAACTGGCAGAAGTGGGTAGTTGGAGGAGGCCTCCCCATCCTAACCCACGCGTGTCCCTAGCCCAAGGAACCAGGCACTGCTAATGAAACTTTGCAGTAGAAACAGACTGCTCACCACTGGCCCTAGGTGACCACACCCGAGCCTGTCCCACTGGCTCCAAGAATTGCTCCCTGAGGTGAACCACTGCTCAGTTCCTATGACATTCAGCCTCTGTTCTCTGCTATCATTCCCACTCGCCACATACATGAGACCCAATAAGCATGTCCTCAGCATTTTGCCCAACCTTACTGTTCAGAAAGGTCACAATCTCTTCAACTGGCCGGAAACCACACAAGCCCTGGAAAGAGGTGAGGGCAATGGCCATCTCTGGCTTGTGGTTGGCATCGGGGTAGTGCTCTGGGGCCTGGAGGTGCAGCTTTTCTGCCAGCTCCTGTGGGGTGGCCAGGGGAAGAGGAGGATGACCAGGGTGCAGCATCACCTAGCAGGGACATGAGTCCTACCCAGCCCCTGCTCACCACCCTTCCCAGTCACCAGATGGCAGTGGCTTCCTGGCCCTGGCAATGAGCCTAGGCTTGGTCAAGGCATAATGCGGAAATTTGGGATTAAGCCAAATTTCCAGGGCAGGGAGAGCTGGGGCAGACTTTAAGAGGCCTGACCTGCGAATCAGGAAACCCAGACACCAGGCTAAGCTCTGACATGAGCTGTGCAACTCTGGGAAAATCTCTCCTCTCTGAGTCTTTTCCCATCTAAAAATTAGGGGTTTGGACAGATAATTGCTTAGGTGGTAACTCAGCTTTTGTACCGAAAGCTCCACAGGGATAGGGCTGAGGCAACAGCTAGGGTAAGTGCACTGCCCTGGTAGGTGACTCTCTCAGAGAGCCAGATGGGAAGATGGCAGGTATGTATGAACATATCTGGGCTGAGTGAGGAGAGCCCAGAATAAGCTACCTAGGAATGGGCTTGGAGAAGCTCCCCAGGTACAGACTGGTCAGCTGTCGACTTAGACCCAGCTGCCCAGCATATGTCACCTAGCACCTAGCGTTGCAGAGCTAAATTGGGAGTTGTCAGGTCTGGATTTAGCTTTGGGCTACAGCCTGGCATGGATGGGATAAAAGCAGGAGTGAAAGTCATAGGAAGGCCTTGACATAAGCCCTTCTCTACCCTGACCTCTCTACCCTGTCCCAATCCTTTACCTTGTTAGGGTGTGCCTGAATGGACAGGGCCGTTTTAACTGAGAGCACTTTGAAGAGGAAGGGCAGCTGGCCATTAAAACTGTCCTTGACCTTTGACCCCAAGGAGTCCCGGTTCTCAGCAATCCACTGGCCTAGGGTCTTCTGTGAGATGTGGTTGTCAAGGATCTTGGCGTCCCCCCGGGGGTGGGTCCCCATCCACAGCTGGAAAGACAGAAAACTTGGGAGGAAGGCAAAAGAACCTGGCACCACCAGGCTGCCTGCCCAATCCCAGTTACCCCATGCTCTCTCCAGGGCATCTGAGACCTAAGACAGGCCTCCAGGAATGGGTGTTTTTATGCTCATGCCATCACCAACTTACAGAAGGCAGCAGACCCCAGAACACCAGGAGTCAGGAGACCCAGGCTTTAGTCCAGGCTCTGCCCGTAACCAGCTGTAGAGCCTTGGACTAGTTATTCCCCTTCTCTGGGCCTCAGTTTCCTCCTCTGTCCCATGAGGAGAATGACACCTGCACTGCCGAGGTCACTGAAGAGCTGTGACTCTCACATAACTGTGAGGGGTTAACATTCGTTTATTCTCGTCTCAGAAGCAGAGGCTAAAGCTTTCTTTCCCATGCTTTGGCTTTTTCTCTACTAAATGGGCAAAAGACATACATATTTTAGATTAATAAAAACGCAAAAATTAGTCAAAGTAAACATTTTAATTGGCAAAGAGTGCGCCCCTAGGCTCAATTAAAATTCAGTAAGTGCTAAGAGTTCTGAGAGTTCTTGGGGGAAGAAGGATACTGGGAATCCCCGCCCACTATATCAAAATCTCTCTTCTTTTGCTGCCACCATCTGGGTCCATCAAACTGCACTGATTTGAAGAGCTAAGAGGGGCCCCTCCACTTTGTTGCCCCTCCCAGCAGATCCACGTGGCTTGCCTCAGGCTCTTTGAAAGGAAGGGTCCTTTGGTCCCTCCTGAGGGTGCGGTGGGCTGAAATACAGTCCAAGTCTCACCTCTGCATATGGCTTGTCCTCTGAGATCTGGGCCAGTGGGTCACTGCTAGCCAGGAGTAGGGCCACTTCGCTGTTGGACCCCAGCTTCCCCCAGGCATACTGCTGCACCACACAGGAAAGTGGGAACACTGGGGACAGACAGAGGGTCAGTTTCAACTCCACTCCTCAGGCCTGACCCTAGTGTACTGAAGATGAGCTGAGGGTTTTGACTGGGGACCAAACCAAAACCACTGCCATTAAGTTGATTCGGACTCATAGCAACTCTGCACGACAGAGTAGAACTGCCCCCATAGGGTTTCCAAGGCTGTAAATCTTTACAGAAGCAGACTGCCACATCTTTCTCCCGCGGAGCGGCTAGTGGGTTTGACCGCTGACCTTGAGGTTAGCAACCGAGGGCTTAACCCCTGGACCACCAGGGCTCCTCTGACTGGGGACAGAGTCAAATAACAGGCCTGTAAGGTGGTAAGTTAAGGCCTTCTCTGCAGGCCACGAGATTCCCGTCTGTAAAACGGGCAGTAAGAATCTTCTGCTGACTTGAGGCAGGCAGCTGCCGTGAGGTGACGGGGAGAAAATGTGAAGTACCCATCCCATGGCACCCCGTCTCGAAGTGACCCACGCGCAGGCGGGAGAGAGCGGAGCCCCCTCCCCTCGAGGCTGTACTAACTGCTCCATCCCCGTCGCGAGTGCTCCCACCCCTGCCTGGCACCTATTTATCTTTCAGCAGAGCCCCACGGACTGGGCTCGACCTGGCAGATTAGGCCGGGAAGAGTCCACAGCCCACGACCCACCCCCACGCCTCGCCGGCACACAACTCACCTCGCTGAGCGGCCATCCTCCCAGCACCAGACCTGGTTTTCCACACGTATGCTCTTCCCGGCAGCACCCGCCCCCACCCCCGTGCGCCCAGAGCTTCACGGGAAATGTAGTTCTTCGAAAGCCGCCTCGGAGGCCCGAGTGCCCAGCGCAGCCACCTGAGACACGTGACAAGACACTCTCTAAAAGGATTTCTTCTCCCACCCTCTGCCTGTCAGGAGGAGCCTCCATCAGCCCAGGGGCTTCCAGCCCACAGTCTTAAGTCAGTTTTCATTCATTCATCCCTTCATCCTACACATGTTTAGTGAGCATCTATTAAGTACCAGGCACTGTTCTAAAGACTGGAGATACATAAGAGAACAAGATAACGACCTGAGAACAGGACGCTCTGCCTTTTTAGAGATTCCATTTTACGGCCGGAAGACAGACATAATACTACAATAAATAAGTAAATCACATCGTATGTTGAAAGGTAATAAGTATTGAAAAGTAAAAAGGTAAGGAGGAGTGGGAGGCAGTTTGCAGAATTTAAAGGCTATCTGTGTAAGCCTCAGTGAAGTAGGATTTGAGGAAAGACTTGGAGGTGCAGAATGGGGGAAGAGTGTTTCAGGCAAAGGAAACACCTAGAACAATGGCTCTAAGGTAGGAACATGGGAATGTACCTGTCATGTTCAAGGAGTAAATAGCAAGAGCCAGTGTGGCTGGGGCAGAGTGAATATGGGGGGGCGGGAGGAAGTGAAGTGGTCAGAGAGGACTTCGGGTTTTACTCTGAGTATCTCAGTCAGCAAAGGGTTTGAGTGAAGAACTACTTATGATCTAAATAGGAACTCACTAATGCTTGACAGCTGATGGCAAATGTCATCTGCAAGGCCCTTAACCTCTCTGAGCTTGTCTTTCTTCCTCTGTAAACTGGGGATCATAATGCTGGCCTTGCAGACTTGTTTGGGGGTCAAGTGGGATGATGTTGGGTGTAAAGCAGTCTGCACTCTGTGCTCCTCTGACCTTCCCTGCCCTACGCGCTGCAGGAGCTCGGAACCCTGGCTCCACCTCCAAGCTGAACTGCTCACAGTAGCACACAGAGAAGTCAGGAGGGTCACCAGGAGCTCTGCAAGGGGAAGGCAGGCTGGGGCTGGGATTCAGCTGTGGAATAACTTGTTACATCCTGTGGAAAAAGTCTCTAACATCTGAACCTCCCTAGGCAACAGCATAGAAAAGCGCAGCCAGCTAGAGGGGCCCAGGAGCCCAGCAGCCAAAGCTCCAGGAAACCGTAAGTAAGGGGCTGCAGTCCTGACTCTGCCGTCTACCCACGGCCCCCCACTGATTCCCACAGCCTCTAGCACACTTGCCCCAGGGAAAGAAGGGGAGCTGTTTTCACTGTAATGTTCTGTGCAGATGTGGGCATCAATTTCCTCTGGGGTTCTTGGCTTGCTAAATCAGTCTGCATTTCAAAAGCAGCTTCACCAGACATGAAGGGATGACGACATGGAAAATGTAAGAATTATGCAAACTGTGCAGCTCACCTAGCTCCTATTTTGGAATATCCCTCTTCCTCATTCCCACTCTCCTCGCCATTGGAACCTTCTGGGAGAAGACTGAGGGATTAGCTAAGGCACAAGAGATTCTCAGAACACCCACCACCACTGAAGTCAGAACTAGGATCATCTCCTCATAGTCTCCCCACACAGAAGAAAGAATTTAGATTGACAGGGCACTAGAAACCCCACCCCCCCTATACACACAGCAAAACACATCCATAAGGGAAACCAGGGTGTTTGAGAATCTAGATCCTTCCACCTTCACCTCTTGCTCTTCTAGTAGAACTAATCCCACTTTATTATCTGGTAACGATACACTTTAATCCCTCTCTTTCCTGCTAGACTGTATGTCTAATTCAACTTCACATTTCGGCTAGTGCCTAGGCTGTAGGTCAAGCTATAACAGCAACTAACATTTGTTACACACTGGATATTGTGCTAAACCCTTTTCAAGAATTTTCTCACATTCTCAAGACAATCCTATGAGATTTTTTTTTCCATTGTCGTCAAGTCGATTCCGATTCACAGCAACCCTATAGAATAGAGTAGAACTGCCCCATAGGGTTTCCAAGGAGTGGCTCGTGGATTTGAACTGCCAACCTTTTGGTTAGCAGCTACAGCTCTTAACCACTGCAGCCACCAGGGCTCCCTATGAGATAGGTACTGTCATTAGCCACATTTGAGAGATGAGAAAAATGAGTCTCGAAGTGGTGAAGTAACTGAGCCAAGAGCACTGGGCTGTACTCTGCTCTATCTCCTCCCGTGATGAATGAGTGAATGAGTGAATAAATGGTGTCTCTCTCATAGGGAAGTGGACAGATCCTAGGAGATCTTCAGAGATAGATGGGTGGGTGGACTCCACATTGGTGATAGTAAAGCTTATTATTTATTCACCAGCCCAGCACTGGACTAGACTGGAGCAGACAAGGAGGCAGGACAGCCTCTGTTGTATGTACCTAAGTCTGTTCTCTCAGGCTACAGACAGTAGTGATCTCTGTATGCTGCCCTTAGAGGGATGACTGAAGGACTTAGGGGTAGGTGGTTTCTAAGGGGACACTGTCTTAGTTATCTAA